CACACATACAGTGAGTGTTAGTTAAGTCCGTAAGAAGATTTATTTGCATAAGCACACACAGCTGAAGCAGCTTCCTGTGAAACAGCTTTTGAGGAAAGGAATTTGTTAAGTATAACTACTGTACCTCTGAATAATGCAGAGGTTAGTGTCTTTATTCCTTTAATTTATTATAAGAATATGAATTTCAATGTACTTATAAATGTGTTTGGTAATCACCTCAGTACCTTTGGTATTTTAATATGATTAAACCCCAAAATATCTCTATTTTCAAATTCACAGAGGGATGTAAATGAATTATGAAACATGCAAGATAGAGATGTTTTGCCTCATTAAATTCTTAAAACTCCACTTCTGAAGAGTATTTGATGCTTCATCATTCACTGCACATCCATTTAGGAATCACTTGCTGGAAGCAGTCATTCGGTTTGTTTACTGTAACAGTGACGTGTGAGTGACCCCATACACCTTTAGCACAGAGGCACATTTCAATAAGTGACAGAAAGCAATGAGTTTTACAGTAGCGCTATACTGAATTAAATACCATTCTAAGAAGCTAAACTCTGTTGTGCTGTTGTTCATCTGAAAAGAAAAACAGTTTAATAGAATGTTGTAAGTATTTTCCTTAAATGGTTATATTAAATTTCCTGGTTTTGTCGCATATTCATTTGTTTTGGCATTGTTTCCCTCTCAGTTGTATGCCCTGGGACCAATAACCTTTTTCTCACCACTGTAATATCTTTGCAGCTGTGCATGAATTTTCATGAATGTGGCACCTTTTCTGGCCAGGAAACGTAATTTGCTTCTGATGTTTGTGATAAATTTCACACGAACGTGTCATGATGATAAAGAATGTTGAATCAGTCAAATGTGCCGACTGGTTTATTCAAACTTTAGGCGCGTTCACACCAAGTACTTTGCCGTATTTAGTGCCGGCACTCAGTGCCCCGGCACTTATTACCCCAGGGCATTTAGTACAGATCGCGTTCACACCGGAGTACTTTTCCCTGAGGGAAGATTACGCAAATGAGCCGCTGGCGTCACTTCGTCTTCTTCTGCTTTGGGTTTACTGGCAGGCCGCAAACAACTTCACGGCGTATACTGCCACCCGGAGTCCCCGGCCGGAAGTCCCCAGAGTTGGGGACTGGCTTCAGTAGAAGCTGCTGGGACTCCCAGCAGCTTCTACTGAAGCCTTCCGAGTAAATCGCCAGAACGCCGACACCTCCTCATCTCCACCGCTCCCATGTTTTATTTTGTGCACTAAAAATGGGGGTAAAAGTACGGTGAAAAGTACTCCGGTGTGAACGCGGCACATGACTATAGGCATTAGCCGCGTTCACACCGGAGTACTTTTCACCGTACTTTTCACGTTTAGTTCCGTTAGTACCCCTTATGTCGCGTTCACACCAAAACGAGCACTTAATCTCGGGAACTTTTACCCCCATTTTTAGTGCCTGCTGAGAGATGGTACTTTCCTGAGGGAAAAAAGTGCCCCAGTTCTGATTGGCTGGGCGAATTGCAAACCACGCCCCGTACAACTCTGAAATGTTTTGTAGAGCCGCCATTTTATTATCCTGGCATTAGCATTATTAGCATTAGCATTCGCCCAGTGCACAAACGCAGAGAGACTAACTTATGGCAACACAAAATAAAACATGGGAGCGGTGGAGATGAGGAGGTGTCGGCATTCTGGCGATTTACTCGGAAGGAATCAGTAGAAGCTGCTGGGAGTCCCAGCAGCTTCTACTGAAGCCAGTCCCCAACTCCGGGGACTTCTGGCCGGGGACTCCGGGTGGCAGTATACGCCGTGAAGTTGTTTGCGGCCTGCCAGTAAATCCAAAGCAGAAGAAGATGAAGTGACGTCGGCGGCTCATTTGCGTAATCTTCCCTCAGGGAAAAGTACTCCGGTGTGAACGCGATCTGTACTAAATGCCCTGGGGTAATAAGTGCCGGGGCACTGAGTGCCGGTGTTGTGTCAAATTATGCACCCCCATAATGAAATGCCCCCCTTGTCACGGGAACGCGCATTTCATTCAACATGTATTATTAATTACTGTGTGTATGTAAATGTGTTGGACAATTGCAGGACTAGCCCTCACTCCATATTTGCTTTATTTCTGACTCGGATGATAAACCAGGCCTGTCATAAAATGCACCCCCCCCCAAAAGATGTTTCTATTAATCCCACCCTCAAGCATTTTTCAGGGTATAGTTGTAGGACTAGTACCAATGAATGGAGCAAGTTTCATGAATGTGACACTTTTATTTTGTAAGATAGCAAGGGGGGGCATATTGTGATAACCAGGCCTGTCATAAAATGCACCCCCCCCCCAAAAGATGTTTGTATTAATCCCACCCTCAAGCATTTTTTAGGGTACAGTTGTAGGACTAGTACCAATAAATGGAGCAAGTTTCATGAATGTGACACTTTTATTTTGTAAGATAGCAAGGGGGGGCATATTGTGATAACCAGGCCTGTCATAACATGCACCCCACCCAAAAAGATGTTTCTATTATTCCCACCCTCAAGCATTTTTTAGGGTATAGTTTTAGGACTAGTACCAATACATGGAGCAAGTTTTATGAATGTGACACTTTTATTATGTAAGATAGCAAGGGGTGCATAACGTGGCAAAAATATGCTGACAAAGACTATGTAACATTTGTAAACATATATTTTGATTATTATATGACAAATATGTAAAATTAAACAATACATTTTAAAGCACGTGTATACAGACAGGACGTAACAATAATAACAAAAAAAAAAGATTAAAAAAAACAAAAACTGAAAAGGAAGTGACGAATGAATTTCGACACCACTACCATCAAATACGGAGCGAAAAGTTTAACCACAAGAATCAAGACTATATGAGCTACCACTAAACAACTCACAGTCTGAAAATTACCATTAATAAAAACCCTGAACGTTTACTTTTCGTTTTAAACATCGTTTAAGGTGTAAACGTGTCATTTAGAAATGCGCGTTCCCGTGACAAGGGGGGCATTTCATTATGGGGGTGCATAATTTGACACAACACCGGCACTAAATACGGCAAAGTACTTGGTGTGAACGCGCCTGTGACTTCAGAAGAACAAGCAGTCATACACTGAACTGTGAATAGTTTAACCCAAGTTAGTTTTTAGGATTATGTGTCAGGCTTTTTATGAACATTATATTAATTATAATGCATTTGTTTATAATAAAAACGTAGACTTGCGTTTCATAAATTAGATTTTGTGTATTCCGGCCTTTTCTATAATAGTTGTTATGAGCCAGTGCAACACATGTTTACATCCCTCTTAATGGTAAAAACAGACCTTAGGAAAACCGTTTGTACTTTTTCCATTATATTGGGTTCCCTGTGCATTACCAGTAAGTGCACCAATACATTAGGATAAAGGATGATTACAACAAATATATTTCTACTTTTTAACATACATTCTAAATAAGTAATGAGAACATTTATAGTAAAACACACTCAAAGTTGCAATGTTCGCAGTGTCCTCAAACACAACCTCTGAGGGCTAAGCTCAAGTTGTTGCCACTATTCCATATTCTTCGCAAAATGTGTGCCTGGAAGAACTTCATAACCATCATTATAAGATAAGAGATAAGAGAGAGGAAATGATATCAGATATGATATGAAGGGTTTCTGGGGTCTGAGTTTATTGCTGCTTTTTATACTACAACAAGACTATGACATGTACATGGGATGAAAGTTGTTTCTTCAAATGATACCTGACTTGAACTTCATTGACACACAGTAGTATTTACTTTCGTGCACAGCATTGACATGCATTTGAGAAACCAGGTTACTGGGAGGAATCAGATTAAAACAGTGTTGCCCACAGAGGAGTAGGTAAAGCTGGAGAGGATAAAGACAAATCTCTCTCTAATTCCAGTCAAACAGCCAATTACCTTAGGGTCTGTTTCTGTTCTGCCAATCTCTGTAGAGCCGGCCTCCTCTGCCTCTTCTGGCTCCAGGAAGCAAAATAAAGTCATCTGTTTGTGGAAGACATTAATTAAATGCTGCCTCCCCCTTGTGGTTGCTGTCAATATTGCAGTAGCAAATGGAAAAGTGTATTTATTTGACTGGATTAAGGAAGGGCACGTTGAGAAATCTTAAACTCAAATCAATGAATGCACTGATTATCACCAAGAATATAGGTATTCATATTTTCTGGTGCCCTTTAAATGTTGTTTACATAATTAAGAAAATGCAGTTTAAAGGTATACTGCATGATCTACAAAACAAACTAATTTGTTTTATATGTGACTTTGCCAGTAATTCATATAGTAAATAGTCTGTTAGTTTAGTTGTTGTTCCTTGTAGAGGAATTATTTAGGTAAAGGTTTATCAGCACAATGTTTACAATGAAAAAAAGTTACCCCTTTTCATCAGATTATTTTTTACTGAATTAATACTTTATTGAGTTGGAGCTGATGTCCTATTGTGTAATCTATAAAAATGAAGCACATTTATTGGGTTTAAGTCATATGTGTGTGATTATAATTATAATTTGCAAAGTAGATGTAGGAAAAGATGCAATATTTTCCTTTGACATTGGAGGGGTGGGAATTAATAAGCATTTGCTTCCTCCTACTCCCTTTCGGACACATGTTGAATATATAAATATTATCATGAATGTGGATAAATACTGTATTTTAACAATACGGTATTCTGTTTTTCACATTTGTTATTTTTTATTTGTTATTTTCTTAATCTGTTCGAAATAAAGATTGAAATGAAATGAAATGAGTAGAGTTATAAGGTGGCATGACATGAGAAAGTCTTCTTGAGAAAATATAGTACATTTTACCTGCTGATTTCCTTGAAATGTGATAAGAACATCTTATAAAAATGTATAATGTGAGAAAAAGATGAATATCTACAGCTACACACAGTCATTCCTTCATTCACCTGTAGAGGGTTCCTTCTACAGACAGGCGCGTGCGCGGGACCACGTGAGGGAATGATTGCTGCTGTTGTTATGGGTAATTTGTTTACCCCGCCCACCTGTGTGTCCTATAATAAAGGCCACATGAGGCTCAACAGCTCCACACACACAGCTGACTCACTGAAAATGGATGCTAACATTGTAGTAATGGGCACAGAAAGCGTTGGGAAATCAGGTAAAAACATTTCTGTAGCAGAGAAGTAGTTACATATACATGTGTCTGTGGCACATGGGTTAATGTTTGTTGTTTTTTGTTTGATTTTAGCGCTGACTGTACGTCTCTTAACTCGGAGATTCATTGGAGAGTATGGAGATATCGGTAAGTGTATCTTTAAATAACATCGTTATATTGATTGCAGCCTTTCAACTTCATCTAACTTTCCATTAACTTAACCTTTGTCTTGCAGAGTCCATCTACAGCCACAGTTTTATGGTAGATGAGAGGAGAACCACCCTCAATATTTGGGATTCACCTTGTTCTGAGGTAAGGAGATATAAACTACTATCTGACAAATGCTGTCAAATATTTCAGTTGTAATAATGCTGCTTTAATCTGCTAATAAATTATGCTGGTACTAGTGTTAGAGGAAGTAGCCTACTCCTAAATATCTTTAAATTCAGTAGATTTAATGCAATGTAAAAATAATTAATTACGAGTAAAGTTCAATTTTCATCAAAAAGTGCCTCAGGTAACACACGTGTAGCATTTAAGTCCATCACATACAAATATATATATATGATGTATTTTAGGATTACTAATTTAAATAAGATACGAGATAATCATATAGTGTGTAAAATCACAAGGTAACTGCAAAAGTAATAATTATAGCTCTACTGCAATTAGTCTAAAAACATTATTCAATTATATTTATTTTGTTATTTTCACCAATAAAATTAAATGATCTGTTTTCACAGGATTTGTCTGTGGAGACGTCACTCTTTGAGAAGAAAGTCCAATGGGCAGACGGCTTCGTTCTCGTCTACAGCATCTGCGACAGGGCCAGTTTCAACGCCGTCAGCAGGCTCATTCAGACCATCAAGTCCACCAAAGACTACCTGAACGCAGACAAAGCGCCCATAGTGGTTGTGGGTAACAAGAGGGACTTGCACCACAGGAGGACAGTGCTGAGCGAGGAGGGCCGTCTGCTGGCTCTCAACACGGGCTGCCACTTCTGCGAGGTGTCAGCGGCTGAGAACTACCACAGTGTGCTCATGGTGTTTCACGGTCTGGTGGGCAGGATAAAGGGTGCAAAGCTGACGACCAAGAGACCTCTGGGGTTCAAGGGCATCGTGAAGAGCATGTCTGCGGTGTTTGCCAGGAGACGGACAGACTCCTTTTAGCAAGACCATAACAGCAGAAGGAGTTTTCTATGAACTGCATGAGAGGGGTCACACATACAGTAATGAGGGTTTTACCTGATGGACATCACAGTCTGTCAGGGAAATATTACCATGTGACTGTGCCAAAGATCAAAATGAAGTCCCCTGAGTCAGAGACAAGACAGAAAGCTGTTCCTGAAAAGAAAACATTTAGACAAAACAATGTGAAAGAGGTTCTTTGGTGACATGTTTTGAGGTTAGCTGCACTTCAAGGTTGGACTGATGAAACTAAAGTTATTAATTCTACAGATACTTGACATTTTATATGCTATTGTGTGCAGCAAGGTATGTGAAGTTTAAGAAGGGATTTATATTGGAAGAAACAATATGTACAATCTAAATGTGCCTTTAGTCATGATAATGACCAAAGAAAAATGCTCTTCAATTTACAACAAAAAACTTTTGCATCACTAAAAAAGTGACTGAAAACGTGTCGTGCCTAATTTTGTTACAGATTATTGAAAGTAAATCATGTATATTTATTCAACTCTTTAAAGCATTACACATAAAAGTGTTTCCTTTTTATTTATGAGCTCTCCCATGTTTAATCCATCTACTATGGACAATGTGCTGAGATGTATTTTTTATATATGCCTTGTTTTATGTATTACAAGGATTTTAAATAAAGCATAAAAAGTGATTTTCATTTGTGTTGACTCTCAAATTCCAATGTTTGTTTTCCAGTAACATGATTAAACAGTCAGTTGATCCACATTAGGAAAAACCTTGTACCCTATAAGGAGTGACAGGAGTCGGTCAATTCTCCAAACGGATGCTGTAAAACATATAAACTTGATAAATGATCTTCCTTCTGCCCCAGTCAAACTTAAATCGAGACTTCGAGCTCTTTTTAAATATAAGGAATTTCTCTGTAGATCTAGGAGAACATTTCCTACATGAAAAATCCCTCTAACTTGTGGCTGGCCTGCCCCAGCAAACTCGGTCTGACCCAAAACATTAGGCGGCAGACATTTCTATTCTTCTTGTCCTCTCTTTGACCTCTGTCGTTCTGTGTCAGGAACATGTCTAGTCTATCCACCATGTGCGGCTATTACGGCTATCCATGGGAGGGCAAATGGCAGGTAAGCTGGTGCCAGCTCCCCCCTTTAATTCTTCAGTGTGAGGAATCTGACAGGAACAAGGCACAGGTTAACTCAGAAAGACTGGGGTGGTCTGGACCATGCAGCTCCTTGTCACAGCCTCTGGTCACTTCACAGCATGACACAGAATCAACTGCAACCCCTACAAGAGCTGCTTTCAAACAAGATTCAATCATATATTTGTCTTTTAGCCAATATACTGTAGTCTATTTTGAAAGATTCCTGAGCACTACATAGTGGCTTGTTTGAAATGCTGGAGCTAAGATTTAAGACTTCGATTGAAAAAGCATCTGCTCACTTGGAACTATGAAATACATATTTAATGGAGGAAACTTTCCGTCATTTACGCATTGATGCTTGAAGAAGATCTCTGACTGAAAATTCCCTTTGAAACAGCCTGTTTTCAATTAAAAAGACCACGGAAGTCAAAGAGACTTATAACAAATCTGCTCAAAAACTATTTGAAAATGGATGTTTAGGTATCTGTTTATTTCCTCTGCCAAGGAGGTCATGTGTTCAGTAGCAGGCGCATGTGTTTTGTCACATCTGACAACTCCTCCTTAAATGTTTGGATCACTGCAGGAGAGCAAGCTGCTGGGGAGCAACTGGTTCAAAGTCTGCTGAGGTGTAACTGTTCTGAGACTAATACTAAGTTGCTGTTTGAATAAATATGTTCTGTATGCTATTTTATAAATAAATAAATCATATCCAAAACAAATGTTCCACCCAGAAGCATCTTTTGTGTTTACAACACAAAAGTAAATTGAATCCCAGGAGTGTATCAGCTCCTGACATGAGTGCATCCAACACTATGACACATTCAAAATAGCATAATGGGACTCTCACATCTAGTCAAACATTAACCAAACAACTAGACCCTGACTGGATGCTTTAAGCCAAAGTCACTTATTGGAAGAATGAGGTGAGTAAACAAGGAATTACAGTATTCCAGAAAAAGTATACAGAAACCTTACCCACAAAATGAAAAAAAAAAGTATTATCATCAAAATACCTTTTTCTTGATTTAGATTAAAAAATCTAAACAAATGTTTGATGATATGGAATCAAAACGTTTGACAACAGCATAACTATATTAAAACATCTATTTACAAAAAATAATCTGGTTTGCTCATTACATTTGCGCATTTAACAGTAAACTTTAACTTTTCGATGAATCTGACATTAAATATAAATATACCAAAATTCAATAGTTTTTTTGGTAGAAATTAGCTACCGATAAAATAATCTTACACATGCATCATTGTCTCTTAGCTTCCGGTCACAATTTTAACCTCAACTGAATGCTGTTTCCTCTGTCAGTTCCCAACTTTATTTTGAACAGATGTTGTACCAGGCTTGTAGGAAAATGCCATATGTTGGTAGCTCACTATCTTTTATTGGAAGAAATTGATCAGAATGATTTATAATAAGCAACAGCATGTAATGTCTCCTGTTTAAGCCGAGGCAGGCTCACACCTGGACTCTTACCTTGTGGCATTACAGGCTTTTTCAACCTGACAATGACTTTCAATTTCCTAATACAGGATTTAAACAGGGGGTCAGGAATGTGAGCACTGTGAAAGACTGAGATGCTCAATGAGCCTTTTCGTTAACAAGATTTATAAAGAAATGTGTTAACTGTTGAAGAATGCCAACTATCCTGCATATGCCCTTTTGCCTTCGCTAAGCTCCCCTGCAAAGACTTAAGGACCCCCTGCAGCGCTCTACAGTTTTCCAAATAAAGTCCTGGTGTGTGCACACAGCAATGATAATTCAACCCCCGGCGCTGAAAGTTGTGAAGGTTCAAAGTTCAATAGCACTTTGTACTTTTTATTGGCTTATCTTACTTATTAAACAGCACACTTGCACACAGTTAGGGGTCTAAAACCTGTTGAACATAAATACCATACTCAAGATTGTTTTTTCTCAACTATTTTATTTACCATTCTTCCATTTTCTATTTGTCACTAAAGCAAGAAAGGCAGGGGTTTATATTGGCAAGTTGTCAAGGGCTCTCTGATGTGTATATATGTGTATGAGAACAGTCAGGATTACAGGCACAACAGTAATTCAGCTGTCTGCATGTTGACATGAATATTGCAGGATTTTAGAAAGCTTTTGTGACATTTATCATAAAGAAACTTGTCAGACTTCTTTTCTGTCTTAGACCTCCCACTCTTGATCTCTGAGGATTTCCATTTTTACAATCATTGAAAAGGATAAGAAACTCACATCATTTCTCACATTGATGAGAAATGAATAGTGGAATAGTAGGAGCAATATATACATAAGGTTCAGCATCTGAATGCATCATAACTAACATGATCCCGCAGATCAAAAGATAATTTGCTTATTTGAGCCTTTAATAACCAGATCCACCACTGAGAGCAGGGTAGTCGTGTCTGGAGGGCTGAGCTGAAGATAATGCTTTGATCTAATATTAAATGGATGATTGACTTGGGAAAACATTTCTTCTTACAGGAAGGGTTAATGTGGGGGTCAGGTGAGACAGAGCTTTGCGTGTGAGCTGGTAAATAAAATCATGGTGTTGAGTAACTTGAGTAATGTAATGGATGTTGGGAATGGGATATTGACCCGGTTTCCCCTGCAGCAGGCAGTATCTAGCAGGTGTCACACAGAGGCACACATAACATGGGCGTACTGATGTTTTAACTGATTAAATGGTTAAACTGGTTAAATGTGTATTAAGGTGGTGTTTTTCTAATAAATAACTATTGTTTCCTTTATTATGTACCTGTGACACCCTCTGAATAATTCACATTGCTAAAAAATAAAACCACATTTCATTAACACAAATTAAGGCCTTAACTATAACAACTGTCAAACTACACTGAAAAAACTGAAGCATTGACTTAAATGTTTTTGCTCAGTATTTTCAGTACACTAAAACAGTTAACTTAAAAGTAATCAAATACATAATTTGTGGTTTTTACGCTTTCCACTTCAAATAAGTCCATTCAGATTAACTTAATGATGAAGGTTATTAACTGACACCAATAACAACATAACCCCTGACCCCTAACCCTATATTTTGGGTACAATGTGCGTTACTTGCCTCCCTTATAGATTCCCACAAAACCTTATACTGTAGATGCTGGATTCAGTTAAACCCAAATAGAATATCAAATAAAATGTGTGAAAGCCCACAGTACATGTGTTTTCCTGATGTTCAGCAGTGATAGATTTCAAATGGATATACATTTACACATAATACTGGTCTAATTTAGATTAATTTTGAATTACTTACAAAATACATTTCTTTGATCGGGCAAATGCAATCTCTTTAGAGCATGTGTAAAAACATTTTGTTGGATTTTGCAAAGACAGATAACAAAAAGGTACCAACATCGTTTTCCAGTTATCAATGAAAATAGCTTGTTTTACATGATATCCAGTTTACATGCAACATGCTTCACACAGCGGGATCATAGCGTGTCCTTATGCACATACATCTCGACATCTTTAGCTGACTGCCAGGCTGAACTCACTGCAGGGGTCCCATGTTGTGTAACAGCCCCTTTGTCTGATATTTATCCTCTGAATTATGCTGAGAAAGGGGAGTTGTAGGGAATGCGTACTGAATGTGAAGAATGCCGTTGCTTACATTTTAAACAAGGTCACACACAGAACATCAGGCTATGGGTCAAACATTAGAACTACTGACAGGACTAATAGTTTCCGTTATATTTATATTCATTAAAGACTGTGTCTGCTAAATGAATCTTCAGAGCAGCTTTCTGTTCTTTAAGCAAAGGTTGGAAAATACCTTGGACTGATTGCAATGCTATTACATAGACTCCCTGTCACACTAGGAACTTGTTGAGGAGGTTGATGTTGCATTTCTTTGGAAAAAAGAGTAGCTGGAGGAACTTCTACTGTATTTTTATATAGGGTATTTTGTGCAAGGTTGCATTGCAAGGTACTAAACAAAACCCACAAAATACAACAGTACAACACAGCACAGTAAAAAAAAAGCTTAATATATATTGTGGTCGATTAAGATTAAGAAAATGCTAAAGAAGCTGGAACAAGGAGAATACTGAATGTTCACTCCACTGCACCCTCTTGCTGTGCCTCATGGTGAAACATTACTGAACTGTGATGCTACACACAGCTCTAAAACATGTTCTGGTTACAAAAAAATAAGTGAATTTCTCAGCATGTGTGATTTCATCAAATTCAGGACAGTTTTAGCAGGAAAAACAATTTTCTAAGTGAATGAGGAGAATGCAGTCAACAATGTCAAAAGCATACAAATCCAACAGATTTGGGTAAACAGCAGACGCCTCTTTGTCAGGGGAAATGAGAAATTCATCAATCATCATAAGCATTGCGCGGTAAACCCTGAAACCTTAATGAAAATGCTCAATAAAGTATTTGGAATCTGTTCAGAAAAGCACCTGAAATTAATCTTTTTTTTTAACTCAGCCACATTGTCTTTAATCATACAACAACAGGGGGCTTTCATTTCATTTCATGACATTTATTAGGGTCTGAGACCTAGGTCGGCGAAGACCCTATTGAAATCGGTCGCGCAGCGACCGATAAACCTTTGACCCCTGCAACATATGTGAAAACTCACCAAATTTTGCAC